CTGCCCCATGTGTATATAAGGGAAGTTAGAGAACTCACCTGAAGTGCCTTCCCTGGGTTTGTCTGAAGCCTGGGAGACATCCTGGCTCGGTGAGGGGGAGGGAGGTACTAGCTCAAGGGTGAGGAGCAGCTCCTGGCTTGCAGGCATGGTTTCCTGGTTGGCTTCTTCCTCCTCCTCCTCATCCACAATCCTACCCTCCTGGAGGCTGATGTTGGGCATGTCCAGGCCAGACTTGATGATAACAGGAGGAGAGGTGATGGGTCCCCCTCCCAGGATGGCATCCAGCTGTTCAAAGTACTGGCAAGTGTGCAGTGCCACCCCATAGCACCTGCTCTGCTCCCTGGCTTTGTGGTAGGCCTGATGGAGCTCCTTGACATTCATCCAGACCTGGACCAGGTCTGGTTGTGGCCTTTGTTTTCCAGGCTGGTGGCAACCCATCCATAGATCTCTTGCATCTGGTGCCAAGATCTTGGAGGTTGGTCTCCTCCCCCCTGACCTCAAGGAGGTCTAGGATCTCCGCACCAGTCTAACTCTGAGCTCTCTTGCATCTCTGGCCAGTGGCAGCCAAGGGAGAAGTAGTAGTGTTGGGTACTGTAGGAGGCTCTGAGGGAGCATTGGGGTCAGTCATGGCTCCCTCGGATGTTCCTGTCTCAACTGTGGCTCTTACTGCTCTCCAACACGTGAGAAGTCCTTCTCACACTGCCTGGAGTTTTAAGCTCTGCAAGAGAAGGGGAGCACTGGAGATGCCAGGTGTGGCCAGAGCGGTCAGAACTGCAGCTGTGAAAGGCTTCTGGAGGCCAATTATTTCAAATTAGCAGCAGCTATTTTGAAATAAGCATTATTCCCCGAGGAAAGCAGGCTCCCAGATTTCAAAATACCCAGCCAAAAATTTTTAAATAATGGACTTGGTAGTGTGAATGCTTCACTTATTATTTCAAAATAAGGGGGGGGGGGGATTTCAAAATAACTCCCTAGTGTAGATCAGGGCTTGAAGACTAATCTCTGAGACTTGAGGTAATGTCATAATGAAATCTGGAAGTATTTTCTGGTTTATGCTGTGGAAATTGGTTATGTACAGATGAAGTGATGTTGTGTACTATGTGGCTAGAGGTGGGTATACCTGCAAATAATATTATTTGAGCAAGTGCTTGTAAGTCCAGTGGAATTGAAGAGTGTGTTATTAGATCTACCTTGTTGTTATAGTCCTGAAAGAATTAATTTCTCACATCAGCTTTAGTCTTGACCGAAACTGTAGCCTAACTTCTGAATCATTTCATTTTTAGAAGCTTGTGTGCACTGTGATCTTATAAAAAAACAGTTGAACTATTATGAACATTTACATGGTGCTTTACAAAAAATATACGGTCTATTCCCTACATTTAAAAACTATTTCTGTCGCAGAGGAAAATATGTACAACAACTAAAGTATGAGAAAGATTATCAGTGAAGAGATAAAAGAGCAGACAAACTATTTGTGCATGTCTCTGTTCATTATATGTTCAGAATAAAATCTTAAGGCTAAAGAGATACTACCAAGTTAAAAGGAGTCATATTTCCATCTGAAAAATGTACTTTATTATTATAACATGTTCTCTAAACTAATGTAACATTTTTTAGTATGGATTCTTATATTTCAGAATTAAAAGCATTTGTTTGGCAAAAAGTGTTTCATAAAAAAAAGATTTGTGACCAACTGTATTTGGGAGCTATTGGCTCCACCCCTGATTGGAATGAATTTTGTTAAGTGCACCAATATGAAGGTGATGTGTCATAACAAAATTCATGTGGCAGAAATGGGACCAAGGGGTTCTGAGTGTGAGAAGGGGCTCAGGGCTGGAACAGAGGGTGTGTGTGCACAAGGGCTCTGGCTAGGTGTGCCGGGTCTGGGGTGGAGCTGGGGAAGAGGGGTTTGAGGTATAAGAGGTGTGGCTCTAGGCTTGGGGAGGGGCTCAGAACTAGAGGTTGGTGTGTAGGAAGAGGAACAGGCTCAGGGCTGAAGGTGTGGTCTTTGGGGTTGTTCTGGGGATGAAGGCTTTTTGGTACAGGAGGGATGCTCTGGGCTGGAGGAGGCTCAAGGAGGAAAAGGAGGTTGGTGCTTGGGCTTACCTGGATAGCTATTTGTTTGGCAATGAAAGCTTCAGGGTTTGGGGAGAGATATCTCTCTCCACCTCAGCCCTGCACCTCACCGTGGGGTTCAATGGGAAGCTGTGTGAGTGACTTAGCTTTGCTCCCAGTGTTATGCACAGTCTACTAGATATGTGGTCATTTTATAAGTACATGATACAGTATCATTTTTATACCTTTAGAACAGGGGTTCCCAACCATTTTTGGTCCCCGTATGCCCTTGGCTTTTAGTAAACCTTCCTGTACCCCCTATTCAATATGAAAGGAAATAAATTCTAGACTCTAGAATGCACAACTTTTTTCACTAACACTACTACTTTTGGAATATTACAATTGGGATAATCTAGTTATTTACCAAATATTCCCCGTGACCCCTTGACAAGCTTCTCGTACCTCAGGTTGGGAACCCCTTCTTTAGAATAAGGAGATACTGTATATTCAAACAAATTCCTACAATTTCTGAAAGGAACTTTGCAGCTTCTGATTATTGGTTTACATAATTAACAATAAGACATCCTCCAGTGTGTCTAAAAATGTAGTTGTGAGCATGCTGGGCCTATAGCCCAGATATAGATGGGTGGTGCCCATTCTCTACTAGCACTAGGCCCCATTATTTCAGGATTAGACTAGATTAACCTTGTGATCCCTTCTAAGGCCAGATCTATACTAGACCTGGAATGTCAGCTTAAGGTATGCAACTCTAGTTATGTAAATAACGTAGCTAGAGTTGACATATGTTAAGCCAAGCTTGGCACTATCTCCACAGCCAGAAGCTGATGGAAGCAAACACTTCAGTAAGCTTCCGTTACTTCTTATGACTCAAGGGGTATGTCTAGACTATATGCCTCTGCCGACAGAGGCATGTAAACTAGGCTACCCAACATAGTCAAAGAAGCCAGGATTTAAATATCCCCGGCTTCATTAAAATAAACAGCTGATCATTGGCACAGCGCGCGAGTCAAGACGTGGATCGGTTGACAAGGAATGCCTTTGTCGTCCGCTCCCTTATGCCTCATGAAACAAGGTTTACAGGAGCAGTCGACAAAGGCTTCCCCTGTCGACTGCTCCGTGTCTTACTTGCACACTGTGCCGATGATCAGCTGAGCCAGCACAGCACGGCGGCCATGTTCATGTTAATGAAGCCAGGGATATTTAAATCCTAGCTTCTTTGACTATGTCAGGTAGCCTAGTTTACATGCCTCTGTTGGCAGAGGCATGTAGTCTAGACATACCCAAGGAGTACTGGTGCCGACAAGGGGAACACTCAGTGTTCAATATAGTGTGTCCTTACTAGACCCTCTAAATGAATGGCAGAAGATCAGTCTCTGGTGTGGCAAGTGGAGTCATGGCCTAACTGTGACTCTAAGACAGTGAATCTCACTCAGAACCATAGATTGATAATATAAACATTTCCCCTCCAAATACTTGTGTAAACTATTCAATTAGACTGAAGTGCACCTGCATTTCTTGACAAAAGAAGTCATTGGAAAGATTATTGGGAGTTATTGGGAAGATTTCAATTTGTAGTTAAGAAAACAGGTTCCTCTCAATAAGTTGTTTTACTAATAAGAAAGAGCAGATGTCCTAGGGCAGTAAATAAGACAAAGGAGAAAAATCTCAAAACTGAGTCTTCCCAGTGGATTAGATAATTACTGCAAGGTCTGCACCTGATGGAATAATTTGCTTATTAAAGCATCTACCCCCATAAACAATATAAGATGGTAAGCTGGCAACCATCACTATAGCAAAAGAGCTCATTTTGCCTTGGTGCTATGAAGATGAAATCATTTACTACTGTTTTCAGTTAGAGATGGGGCCAAAGCAGAAGCACAAATCTGAGCACTACTCCTGACTGTATGAAATATTTGGACCCAATTTTTACTTTGAAACTTAGGCTCCTTGCTAATTACTATTAGTAGCATCTATAAGGAGAAAGGGGCTGAACCTGTGAAGGGCTGAGCAAGGGCAGACAATCCTGCAAGTTGCTGCAGTTCAATGGATGCACACAATGCTCTGTATTTCCCAATGACTGGGACCTGCATGGATATAACTCTTTGGGGTTTTTTTCCCGTATGTTCTTCCTTTAAATAGACAACTGCAAATAGTTGTCTCCCACTTTAACTAGTCTACCATACACAGAACCATTCTCTTTCTGAAAAATATTAGTATGAGACTTATGTTCAACTTTGTTAAAAATACAAACCCCATGTTGCATTTATTTTAATATATTGTAATATCCATGTTTCTGTTTGAAATTACAAAATACAGAGCGGCAATCATGGGTAATGGCTGGGTGGAAGGAGGTTGCTTTTTATAAAATAGCTTGTCCTTTAGATGGCTCTTTTCTAGAAACACGGAATCTGTCCAAAGGTTTTCTGCATTGGGAATAAATTAATGGATCAGTTAAAGAGGACAAATATTTTAATGCGAGCTGCACTCATGCTATCACAGAAGAACAGATGTTGAAACAGTAACAGACATTCTTGCAGAAACAAAAGGTTTATCGCTAGGCCAGCAGTGCTGGCCCATTAACAGCAGCACTGACCTACTTAGAAGACATAAAATTCAAAAGCTGGTTACTCATAACAAAAGTGCTCCTGGTTTTGATTGATACAAACAGCCTCTACTCCCACACTATTTCAAAGCTCAGACCCAGTGCACTACATCACTTTTAGCATCTATTTAGTATACACAAAAAAGAGTTTCTGATCTAGGGAAGACTGAGCATTATTCATCATATTACTCTATCTATGGAGTTCCTATGATGCTAAAAAAGATCCTGGGTCTTTGTGACATTCTGTATCCCTATGATCACCTTTTTTTCAAGACTAAGTATGCCTTGTGAAGTCTAATTTTAAAACTCTTACTTTGCTGATCATTATTGTCCTAGCAACCATTATACAATTCTGCTGCATGACATTGCTGAGACACATTCCAAGTTTAGAAAAATAGGCACAGACCAGTTGCTCAGAGACAAAAGGCAAGCTGACACCTCAGCCAGGTGTTAACAAAATCAAATGACCTATCACCTGGTTAAGTGACCCTTCTCTGGCAGAAAAAAGGATGGGAGTGAGAAATCTACATTTTGGGAAAGAAACAGCTGGAGGTGCTTGTCCCCACAGATTTCTGTTTCCTGAACCTCAGCTGTAGATGATTTTCAAAGAACAATAGAACTACAAGAAAGAAGAATTGATGCTGCAAAAGATCTTTCCCTTCATCTCTACTCATGGCATCAACAATCTTTGAAAAACAAAGGGAGTATCTTTAGACTAGGCAGGGATCCCGGTGGAAAGGAATTCAGCCAGTAAAACTGCTACAATATGTGGTAAGAGAGACTTTTGATTTAAAATCACTTAGTTGGATGTTAATTGCATTTTGCTTTTTTATTTCTTTGCAACCCATTCTGACTTTTATGCCTCATTACTTGTAATCACTTAGGGCAGGGCTACACAGTATGTGGCCTGCGGGCATGCCCCGTTTGTTTGCGGCTCGTGGTGTAGTTTGGGTTTACATGGGGCTCAACAGGTGGCCTGTGGGTGGAAGCCAAAACAAAAAAGGAGTCAATATAATGGTCTTCTGTTGATATGCATTTTAGTAGTTAAATTCCTGGACTGTCATTGCTCATTAAAAGTGCTATCGTATGGGTGGAAATCGGGTAAATATTGCATTTTATTAATATCAGCAGAACTGACTAACATGGGGCATGCATGTTGTGTAGTCTTAAACTTTGCATTCATGCCCATCAATGTGAAAGAAGCTATTTGCATATACATTTGCATGCCTGTGCAACCACACTTAAGTTGAGTAGCCCTGCTCTAGGTCCTTTATAAATAAGGTCTTTCTAGGGTTGTTAGCTTTAATTGAAGCTATTCCTGGAGATTCCCCCCTCTCAACATGATGTAATGTCATTTTCTTAGAGTATCCCATTAAAATCTCCAGTAGTCACCAGGAGAGCGATGCTGATTCTAGGAAACTTCAGGCCAATCCTGGAGGGTTGGAAATTCTAGCCCTTTCAAACCAAGCCATATGACAGGGTAGGCTGACCAAACAGCACTACCCCATCATAATACCCTATGCATTAGATCACACTGTCTCTCATGATATGTCAAGACAAACAGGAGAACCAGTTAAACAAATTGTTTCTAGTTCTGGATTTTTGTATTATCCTAGATTCGCAAATGGTGTAGTCCTTATTTAGCAAATCTCCCATTGCCTTCACTGTGAATTTTGCCTGCATAAAGGACTGCAAAATTTGGCCCACCGATATTGGAGGTAAAGAAGAAGTCAGGTTTGTCTGTACAGTGTGTTAGTCTGCACTAGCAGATTGTACATTTTAGTTGGGACTTGCATGTCCGGCACTAACTGGCCCGTGTGGACCCTGCTGGCCCATGTGGTTCCTGTTTAAAATGTGAATACATCAACATACACAACAAAACTTTTAGGCTACATCTACACTGCAGGCTTCTTGCTCAAGAACTGTTTTGTGCAAGGGTGCGTCCACACTGCCATGTGCTTTTGTGCAAGAGATGTGCTCTTGTGCAAGAGTGTCCATGGCAGTGCGGATACTCTCTTGTGCAAGAAAGCTCTGATGGCCATTTTAGTCATAGGGGTTTCTTGTGCAAGAAACCCCTGTTGCCCGTTCACACAGCCTTCTTGCGCAAGAGGACTTATTCCTTGTGGGGAGAGGAGTAACTCTTGTGCAAGAAGCCCGCTCTTCTGATGCTTTACTGTAAATTTACTTGCACAAGATTGCATGTGCAGTGTAGACGCTCTGCAAGTTTTTGCACAAGAACAGCTGTACTTGCACAAAAAGCGTGCAGTGTAGACGTAACTCTAAAGTGCACTAGCAGGGTCCACTTGGGGCAATTAGTGCATGATACATTAGAGTGGACTAAAATGTATACCTTTCTGGTATGGATTAAAGCATTGTATGGACAAATGTTCATTGGGTTCATTGCCTTGCCAGTGCAGTATTATTCCTCGTGGGATATTTTTTGGTACTTCGTTTTGCGAGAACATTGAATTTTTCTGTGTATATGAAGTTTACATGTTACTAAATTGAAGATTTTGTTAGGCCAATATTCTAAGTTTTATCCCTCTAGAGAATTATCTCACAACATTTTCTGGTATGCAGAACAAAAAACTACAAAATCTACTGTATATTTGAGAAAGTTTGTTTATTTGTCTGTCTGTTTGTTCAAGAACTCCTCCTAAGAGCTAGGACCACCAAATTTGATATACAGCTTCCTCTTATCATAACTTAAGGCAAGGTCTGGATTTGGTTGTGCCAGGGAATGAAATGTGCCTAGAATAGGAGTGCTTCTCATAAAACCATACAGAAAAGAGAGAATCACCAGGTAGGTGAAAGGGGCTAGCTGGGGGTGCAACTCGTGCTTCTCCAAGACTGCCCCCAGCACCGAGCCTCCCATCTTTCAGGCACCCTTTCGCGAAGGTGAGGAAGGACTGAAGATCCCCACATTCCCCGATTCATACAGGAATATTGTTGGCTGTTCTTCATCAGGGAGTGAGGGGAAAAGTGCATAGTTTTCTGTATTCATCTCTGGTGGGAAAGCACAAGGGTCAGATGAACCTAGATCTGCCCCAGCAAGGGGACATGTACTCCTCTCCTGGCTGTGCCTGCTGGAGCCGCAGCAGACATGGAAAGGTGCGTCCCACAACCTGGCCCCAAACTGCTGCAGTAAGAGAGGGCTGGGGTAGTTTTCTATCCCTGGGGCAGCCTGCATACTGCACCCCTCATTCTCCAACCCTATCCCCAGAGCAATGATTTAAATGAAACATGTACCTTTTCATTTTATTTTAAAAAAAACCCTACAATTAATTGTGTTAAGGTCCCAAGCAATGTCCGGTAAATCTTCTAGTAGAGCATAACATGAAACAAAAAACCCTTTTCCTCTCCTCCCAATTTTTTATAAACCAATGTCAGTAAAAATATTTATATATTCATTTTTATTTTCTGACCAACAAGGGGAAAGAGATTCTATTCTATGGAACACCATTTAACCCATTTTTTAAAACTTTTTCTCCCTCTGAAACTACTTCTTATGACAGCTAGAAGACTCAAAGTAGGCTCTCTGAGAAAATTAGATTCTATTCAGTACAATCTGAGGAATGCCAACCAATGGGTGATAATGAGAGTGTCGCCATTTGGACATGTTCAGTAATGAAATGTCTTTTGCCAGACAGTAGATTGTACTTCTGCCAGCTTCTGTTTCTTATAACAAACTTTTCTTTCCACTTCCAGCCCAAGCAATATTAAAGGTGAATTGGAATGTGCAATATGTCAACTTACACAATTCACATGCTAATGCACTCACTTGTGATGAAAGTTGGTTGGGGCACTACCAATTTAACAGCCCTTGAAGGTGCAAACAGCTCTTTATGTAGACTCCTAAGTCAGGAAGGATACTATCAATTGACTTTGATTCTTATCTGCTTTGTTTTTACTACCCAGTCTTCAGATGCTCCCTGTCTCCTACCCCCCTTCCCCTTTTTTTTCTTCTCCTTCCCCTCTCCTATTTATTTTGGGTTTGCACATCCTAAACTCATAACTCCGGTCATCTGAAGAAGTGGGCTGTGCCCACGAAAGCTCATGATACCGTCAACATGTTGTGTTAGTCTATAAAGTGCTACCAGACCATTTGTTGTTTTTTTCTGTAACAGACTAACTCGGCTACCCCTGAAGCGTCTGAATATGCAAGGCACTGCATTCAGCCGTATGGAATGGAAATCCATCAGCTTCACAAGAAACTCGCACAGATCCAAACTGACATCATCTTCCTTTCCAAATGCAAACAGATGGGCATCATACCTAATGGCCTAAGGGTGAAAAACCCACTATAATCTACATACCCCATGGATTACAGCCAGAGATTATGCCACACACTCGCAAAAAAACTAAGGAACCACATTATCAGCATTCTCTACAACAAACAGAAAAAATCAAGGAGGAGTTCTCTACATTAGAAACTATCATAAAAAACCAAGCGTCCACACACATTTCACCTTTTCAAGACTTTACTACTATTCAACAAACCACCTACAAGGACCATTTCATCTCTCTTCAGAGGAAAAAGGACAATAAACTGTCCAAACTGCTATATGTCTCAGGATCTCTCATTACGGATACTTTCAACTCACCCGACAACATCATCAACCTATCTAATGACTCTCTCAGCTCAGCAAAAGAACCTCCTTCTGCCCCACCACACCCACAAATATGATTCAGTTCTGTGGGGATCTGGAATCCTATTTTTGCTGCCTCTGCCTGAAGGAATATTTCCAACACACCGATATACAACGTAGTGACTTCACTGCTCCCCCCGCCAATCCCACAAAAGGAAAGCTTCTATGTGGACCCCCACCAATGGATGTGATGAAAGTCTTGATTTTTACATCAACTGCTTCTGCAAACACGCTTGATCTGACATTATCAGCAAACAACAACATATTACATACAACCTCAGTCACGCAGAATGCAATGCTATTCACAGCCTCAAAACCAATCCTAACGTCATAATCAAAGAGGCCGATAAAGGAGGAGCTGTAGTCATCATGAACAGGACAGATTATGAACAGGAGGTGAACAGACCACTCACCAATACCAGATTCTACAGGCCTCTCTCTTGTGACCCCATTAAGGAATACCAAAAAATCATGAAAAAACTGCTCATGAAACTCCCTGATGCTGCTCAGGAACAAATTTACACTAACACCCCCCAATCCTCATCCAGGAACTTTCTGTCTGCTACCCAACATACACAAACCTGGTAATCCTGGACAGCCCATCATCTCAAGCATTGGTACACTCACTACAGGATTATCTGGCTATATCGACTCCCTCATCATTGCAGGAGGAATACCAGCTAATTTGAGTTAGGGCTTTAAATCAGAATCCCCTTTCACTGCCGCGTGTAGACGCAGGCAGTTACTTCAGGCTAGCCAATTTCTAAAATGGTGACCGGCCAGGAACATACAAATCAAGCGAGGGATATTTAAATCCCGGGCTTGATTTGCAATTTTGGTCGCCCTCATTAGCTTCCCTAGATCGATCTAGGAGATTAGTGTAGATGTACTCCCTGTCTCCCATCCCCCTTCCCTTTTTTTCCTTCCCCTTCTCCTCTCTTATTTATTTTGGGTCTGCACATCCTAAACTCATAACTCTGGTCATTTGAAGAAGTGGGCTGTGTCCACAAAAGCTCATGATACCATCTACATGTTTTGTTAGTCTGTAAAGTGCTACCAGACCATTTGTTCTTTTTTTCTGTAACAGACTAACTCCGCTATCCCCTGAAGCGTACCTTTTTT